ATGCCAAACCCAATCAGTTTTAGTCCACCTACAAGCAACAGCAATCCTTTCAAAAGTAACAAGGAAGTGTTCTATATCATCAGTATCACTCAGTTTCTCCAATCGAGGCATCTGAGATAATGGTGGGCCTACATTGTTCCCAACCTGATCAAAACTCTGCTGATGAGCTGAAGCCACGGAGTTTCCATCAGAATCTAAATGATCCACCTCGGGCCTTTCCCGGGACTCCCGGTCAACATCAGGTAAGTGAAGACTAGGAGAGGTGCGTGCTTGGACCTCCATTTGCAAAAGACCGAACTGGTGCTGGAGAGCCTTGAATCGTCGCTCCTGATCCACCTGCTCCTGCTGTCTTGCAGTCTCCCGGCCTTCTGTCCTGGCCATATGGGCTCGAAGCAGACTTGCCAACTCAGTCACCGAAACTTCTCTGTCTCCTGTTGCCTCGCCTCCTTCAGCTCTTTCTACCATGTCCTGGTTATCCTCATCCCCTTCTTCCTCTTGCTGCAAAGGAGGAGCCTTAGACCCACCTTTCTTTAAGGTACGGCTCATAATGACGGGGGGAAAAAGGAGGGGGAAAAAAACAGCCACGTGGGGCAAAAACAAATACTGCTTAGTGTCCTTGACCGACTGAAATATCCCACCGCTGCCACCATATGTGAGGGACCGAGAGGTCAGGAACAAGGAACACAAGCCTTATAATGAAAAATGGGTCTTTATTTGAACCCAAAAACAAACAACTTTACAAACTCATAAACTTCTTACAACAAAAATGAAATAACCTAAACAAACAGAAAGTGAAGTCAGAAACAATTAGACAAAAACAACCAAACAAACTAAAACTTACCTGCTCAAATGAACAAAACAACCACTTATAAAGGAAAGGATGGGCCCATTACAAATCAAGAGGGAAAACAATTTAACTACACATTCAACCTTACATAAATCAAAATCAAGTCAAAAATAGAGATATATAATAAATAAAGATAAGGAAAGCAACATGAAGTCAAATACCATAAATGTATAACTAAAGAAATCAATTAATAAAGATATTAACATTTCTTCCTCCCCCGGACCACTCCCAGCAATGGTATGTCCGGGCGGAACCAACAACACTTAAAATCTCCGTTCCTGCCCGGACTCTAATTCTCATCGAGCCAGGATGCGGCCGTCGCTTTTCCCACGCCAGGATGCGGCTGCAGTGGACCATGCCTGAAGGTCACCGGTAAACTCAAAATAGAAACAAATATAAGTGACAGGTACAATGTAACTAATTTGCGTGCACTTCAAATCAGTAACAAAGTAAAACAAAAATGTGTTGTAAATGTAAACTTAACAATAAAGAATTAATAGATGTTTGTTTGTTCCCTGTGGTTATTGTCCCATTATACTAAACAAATAAATGTGTATATGACAAAATAAGGAAAGAAACGTAATAATTCTTAAATGAATGAATGAATGTCGGTGTAAATGAATGTGTGCGTGTGAGAGCTGACACAACATTACCGCTCTTGTGCGGACTCCACTTGGGCCGTCACACCGTGGTACAACGAGCACACTCAGGCCCTTAAGAGAGCAGCCAGAAAAATGGAGCGCAACTGGAAGAAAACAAAACTATAAGTATTTCGCATTTCATGGAAGGAGAGCTCGATTGCATACAGAGAGGCCTTAAAAGCTCCTAGATCTGCTTATTTTTTTAAAGAAGAAAATAAACAAAACCCTAGGTATTTATTTGAAACAGTGGCTAAACTAACGAAAAATAAAGCTTCAAGCCCAGACGTTTCCAAGCATGACGCTCTACTGTTTGAGCTACAGGAAAGCTGTAGCTTCATCGACCTCAACATTCTTTTAAATAGACTCGAAAATTATGTTGGCATTTGTGGAAATGCACTAGCATGGTTTAAATCATACTTATCTGACCGTTATCAGTTTGTAGCAGTAAATGAAGAGATGTCTTATCTATCACAAGTTCAGTATGGCGTACCACAAGGCTCAGTACAAGGACCGTTGCTGTTCACTCTGTACATGCTACCCTTGGGAGATATCATTAGGAAGCATGGCATTAGTTTTCACTGTTATGCTGATGATACTCAGCTCTATATTTCCTCACGCCCTGACGAAACTTACCAATCCACAAAATTAACGGAATGCATAGCTGATATAAAAAACTGGAGGACTAGCAACTTCCTACTACTTAATTCTGAAAAAAAAACAGAGATTCTAATTATTGGACAAAAAACTTCCTCACGTAATAATCTAGAATACTGTCTAACAATTGATGGCTGCTCTGTCAAGTCTTCGTCGTCGGTTAGGAACATAGGTGTGCTCTTTGATACCAACCTTTCATTTGAAAGTCACGTGAATAGTATCTGTAAAACCGCATTTTTTCATCTTAAAAATGTATCTAAATTGCGTCATATGCTCTCAATGAAAAATGCAGAACAATTAGTTAATGCGTTCATGACATCAAGGCTAGATTATTGTAATGCTATTATGGGTGTTTGCCCTGCACGCTTAATAAACAAACTACAGCTGGTCCAAAACGCAGCAGCTCGAGTTCTTACCAGAACCAGGAAGTATGACCATATTAGCCCGGTTCTGTCAACACTGCATTGTCTCCCTATTAAACATCGTATAAATTTTAAAATATTGCTGATTACTTACAAAGCACTAAATGGTTTAGCTCCGCAGTACTTGAGCGAGCTCTTAACGCATTATAGTCCTTCACGTCTATTGCGATCTCAAAATTCCGGCCAGTTGGTAATACCTAGAATATCAAAATCGACTGCTGGCGGTAGATCCTTTTCCTATTTAGCACCAAAACTTTGGAACAGTCTTCCTAACATCGTCCGGGAAGCAGACACACTCTGTCAGTTCAAATCTAGACTAAAAACACATATCTTTAACCTAGCATACACGTAACACATTATAAACTTCTATAATTCAATTTAGGCTGCATAGTTTAGATCAGCCAGAACCGGGAACACTCCCCACAAATCCTGATGTACTTGTTACATCATAAGAAGGATGGCGTCTACGCTAATATTAGTCTCTCTGTTTACCGCATTCTGCCGGATCCAGGCCGTATCCAGATCTTATGCAGGAACTGCGCCTAGACACGATGACAACGCAGTCCTGAAGTGTCAACCAGTCCCTTCCCTGTTTACTGAAGTCAGCCGGATCCCGACCGTATCCAGATCAGATAGTGGACCTGGACCCATCCATGACGCATCCCTGAAGTGCCAGCCTCATCAGCCCTGTGAAGGCCTCATCGACACGACAGCCATCGACACTGATCCTCAACAAACTCGTCTCCATACCGGCGTGATTCCGACTTCCAACCAGATGGAACTGGATTAATACTCTGAATGTTCTGATCCAGTCTGACATCTGACCTGTAATGCTGCCTGGATCATAATCATACACTGTTTGTTCGTTGGCCAGAGGAGAACTGGCCCCCGACTGAGCCTGGGTTCTCCCAAGGTTTTTTTCTCCATTCTGTCACTGATGGAGATTTGGTTCCTAGCCACTGTTGCCTTGGCTTTTGGCTTGCTTAGTTGGGGACATTAAATATTCAACTATATTATTAATCTGCCTTACTTAAGGTGGACGATGACGCAATTTTCTTCTAGAAACAAACTTTGTTGTATTATTTTCATGTAATCACTGTGAAGCTGCTTTGATACAATCTGTATTGTAAAAAGCGCTATATAAATAAAGGTGACTTGCAAGTAGTTAAAATGCTTATAAAAACATTGATCAAACACTAATCAATCAACAACCATTTTTTAATACTATTTTATTTTCTCATTGGTGGAACAGAAAGTGTAAAACTTTAATTCATAGCAAATACATACAATTAAATACATTATATACACTGCCTGGTCAAAAAAAAAACCTTCTGAATTTAAATAAGTAAAAGTAAATACTTAAGAGTCTATGATTGGATCATTATTGCAGTGATTAATGTGTTTCTGGCATGTTATATATATATATATATATATATAAACACATAATACTGACTTTGGCATAACTAAAACATTCATTAAGGTTTGATGATGCAGAAGTTAAGAGTTTGTAACCGTGTGATATAGGAATCCTACACAGGTCAGGTCACTGTGTTCAGATCTGATTCCTCTTGATGTTTTGTTTGATGTTTTTGGCGGGTCACCAACAATTGCTTATTGCTGCCTCCAATGAAGAACTTCTTCAGTAATGAAGATGAACTTGTACAACATAGTTGAGCATTTTAACAGTAAATTAATTCATGAAATACAGACTAACATAAGCAACTTGCTGACAAAGCCACAGCTCAGAACATTTTGCTCCTGTTTACAAGAATGTTAATGTTAAGACAAACCAAGTGGAGGACAGGAGATAAGTGTTCAAATAATTCTGCGCCATTTTCATTTATATCAGTGTTTATAATGCAATTGATAATATGAAAAGTAATTAAATGGAATTAAAAGAAAAACAAAATGTGTGCTTTCTTGATCTAGCACATGCAGGACATTTTCGACAGAATATGCACTGGAACTTGTAAATACGTTCTTAAAAATAAAGGTTATTTATTGACACTGATGGTTCCATGAAGAACCTTTCAAATCCATGGAACCTTTCCATTCCACAAAAGGTTCTTTATAGTGGAAAAGGGTTGTTTAGATTATTTAAACTTTCCACTACGAAAAAAAAAATGGTTCTGTTAAGAACTGTTTAATGAAAATATATATGGAACCTTTCTTTATTTTGAGTGTATTTGTTCAACTGTATAAGAACACTGCAAAACAACCTAACAAAAATAAAACAATAAAAAAATCTGTAATTGCTCAAACAATGGAAGATGAAACTGATTTCACATCATCTTTTTGAAAAATGTTTGTGCTGTGCAAAAGTTATAGAATCGCATATTTAGAACCTAGACAGGGATTGTGTTTTTGACACTGTTAGCTGTATAAAGTCAATAGTGCAGTGTAAAACTTTACACTTTCATTACATGTTTTTTTTCCCCCGCATGGGGAAAGTGTCTTCATCTTAATTGATTGAGTTCCTTCTTTCTCCAAATTCACAGAAGACATTCTTCATTTTATTCCTGTGAACAAAAACAAAACAAAAATACAAGTTAGTTGTCAAAAATAGAAAGAGAGGACAATACTCTGACTAGATGTAATTGTTTTTAAATGTACTTTTTGAAAAATGTTGCAGAATTGCAACACTCATGCACTTTCCATGTTCACTCAGTGCTTTTCATCGCTGTGCTTTGCCAAAACATTTTTCCCCTCAGACTCACTGGCTCTACTTGACAAAGGGATTTCTTTCTTGGACGGTGCCCCTCCTCCAAACCCTCCTCCTGTTTCCCCCTCGCCTCTGTAACAGCTGCTCTTTGGAGCCGTATCCTAAGAGAGTGATGATCGGTGCTTTTTTATTTCAAAGTGTTTTTTTGGAACAGATGGCCAAGGGAGAACTGGGGAGTCAGCCAAGACCGCGCTGGGGAATGTGCCAATTCCTGTAGTGAGCGAGTTCTCTGGGCTCCAGCTCGCGTGCCTTCCCTCTGCCCTCTGCCCTGAGTGGCGCCAGCAGGACTTCCCAACTAGTGTTGCGAACATCTGGTGTCTGGCTCTGACGGGGGGAGGGGGAGGCGCACTCAACCAGCTTCCTTTTCAGTGTGCTTTGCTGAAGGAACGTATTAGCTCACATAGGGATGGAGGTTGGCTTTCCTTCACACATAATCTGTTGGGCTTCTGAAGACCCTTCATGCCTAAATTAAGCGCAACCTACAACGATTAGCATCACCACTGATTCGATTTCTCACAGCTGCTCATTTGTTATTTATAAATGTCATAAAAAAGTTCCATTCTTTCCTATGAGAGGATCATCTAAAATATATGGTTAACTGTACACAAACCATGAGCACAACGACCACCATTACAGAGGGAACGCACATGTCGATATAGGATAACACTGCAGGAGATCGGGACTACATGACTGTGTCATAAAACTCCCTGCAAAAACACATCAATCACTCCATTTATTCGCCCGGGATGCTTTCTCAGCGTATTGGAGGAAAAAGCTGGCGGAACACCCAGTCCTGCCTCTGACAAAAGTTGATGATAATTTAATTTAATGGGATCATTATTAAGCAAGAGGGAAATTCTCTCTAATTGGTATGTATACACATACACATGTTCTCCCTTGTTTATCTTTATTTTGATAATATATCTAAGAATACAGAATGCAGTACTGAATCCTTCTGCTAAGCAGTCTATAATTATTCACAGTTTGCTGGGCAAATGTCATGGTTCACATGAGAGCAGCATGGCTTTCTTAAAGGCATGGGTTTGTTTTCTTTTCCAAAATAATAATACAGATAACCACTAGCAAATGCTTGCGCTACATGACCGTTAAATGTTAAAGAGCAAATCAAAGGTGGGAAATGAGGTTTGTCACCTGGTTTTATCATGTAAGAGCCCTATAGAGTAGCCCTTCATGAGACACTGGAAAACTTCTTCCCAACTGACTATTTACCTTCCTTTTCTTGGAGCGACCCTCGGCCTGCAGAGTTCTAGTGCACTGCTCCACACACTCTCTGAAGCTCACGTTGTGGTGGTCTGGCGAATAGTCCAGGTCGGCAAGCTGAGCAAGGGACAGTATGTAGTTGCAAGCTATTCTTAATATAGCCAGCTTGGAAAGCTTCTGCCCATAAGAGTAGCAGGGTACCTGTAGAGTAGATTAAAGTGTCGTCAAGTGAGAAAAAGCAGGCCGTGAATATAAAAATCAATAATTATGAGGACACGATGCCTAAAAAGTCTACTTAATCCATTAGTAATTCATCAAAAGTCTTCTTCGCATCAAACAAATGAGATATTTCACCACTTTTAATGTTTAAACCGTTATTTGTTTGATCATGGCTATCTTCTCAATTAGTTAAATCTTCTCAAGTAGTTAAACAAATCTTTTTTCATAGTCTAGACTTTATGAAAATGACAGTTTACTAGTGGCAATAAGACAATTTCTTTCTTTTGTTGAAATAAAGTTTATTTACAGCTAAAACACATTTGCAATCCTTTTATTAGCAAACTTGGGATTTTATTGACCTCTACGCTTCCTCGACACTTCTACGCAGTAGTCTCCGTAAAAGCAGAGCCTTGTATTCTGTGGCAGTTCATCCAACACTGAAGTAATGCTGCCTGTGGGATTTTACCTGCTTTCTGAGCGCCTCAAAGGCTGCACTGATGGTGTGCACGCGCGTCCTCTCGCGCGCGTTCGCCAGTAGTCTTCGTGTCTGCTGAATGGCTTTGATCTCCGTGACGACGCCCGACGGCTCTCCAGTGCGTCTCCTAGGAGACTCCGCGCGCTCGCTTCTGCCGCTGGCGTCAGGCGCCTGCGAGGCTGCGCGCGGAGAAAACACAACACGCTCCAAGGGAAAAACCTGTGAACCGCTCAAAGCCGAAACATGCGAGTTTGTTTGAGCAATTTTGCTATTGACAGTCTTCTCGGAGATGGATCTTAGCTTCGAGTCAGGTATCTCTCCAGAAATCACGGTGTTAATCCTCATATCTATGGCAGTATTTAAAATTTCGTTTCCGACACTCGCCGCGTCGATTTCCGAAGCGTGCGTCTCTTTTGGACAAGCGTCTCCCAGTGTCTCTGGCATTAGATGCGAGTTCTTATACAGTTTAAAGTAAGGCAAATGATCTTCACTGACACGCTTAATTGGATCTCGTGATTTCCGTTTAAATTTCTTGTCTCCTGATACCGTGTTTAGGATCTTGCAATGACCGTTTAGATGTGGATTCTTCATTTCGGATGTCCACCCTGACTAAAAGTCCAATAAAAAAAATGAAAGGAAGATAAATGTTGTTGAGAGGTGATACACAAAGCACGCTGTAAGTGTCAAACCAGCGCTCTGTCAGCTGCAGTCAAGTCTTCTAGGACGAGCATGTCTGCGTCGCTTGTTTAAAACTCCATGTCAGTGTATTTTTGAGGTGACGTGCTTCTCCTGTGGTGTCCAAGAGTCCCGTGAAGTCAGGCAGACATTGCCAGGACATTTTTGTGAATGTGCTCGACAGTTCATCTGTGTTTATTCAGCCTCAGTTAACACAGAAGCCCCTGTTGGTGAGATAAGTCAGCGCCGAGAGACCGCCCAAAATAAACCCTCAAGAGGACCTGACACATTACCAATGAAAGCATTCTCTCGACAGTTTTTCAAATGATAGTAATCATAATAATAAAAATCATAATAATTACGATGTTGTCGCACTTAATAGGCTATAATCAGCCTTTGTTTAAAAAGTAGGTGAGGTTTGATGGCAGTAATGCATAATAAACTTTTATTTATTTTTTATAATATTGTAGCCTAGATAGATATTCGGGAGCAATTTGTTGCAAAATCTACATCTCAGTAGCTACAAAGTTTTTTTCACAGAGTTTAAAACTGTTTACAATATAAAACTTAATTATATTGTTTACAATATTAAAACTGTACAAATTATTTATTAGGGGTGTCACAATATATCGCAATTCAAAAACGCAACAATATCGTGGATAATGACAATATGGATTGAATATATTTCACCCAAAGTATATTTTACTGTGCGTGAAAAAAATCAAGTTTACAGAGTTTTAGTGTCAGTACTACATATATAATGTTGAATATAATGTATAATAATGCAATGGGGGAATATTTGTGGGTCCTGATAATGCCAAATGTTTTATGTTAGCAGTCAAAAGTGGCCTACATCATTTTAAATATATCTAGTCAGTATAAAATAATTCAGCTTCAGAATCAGGAATATTTTTGTTCTGGTGTCTCTGTTTTCCTGTGCATTGGTTTCCAGCACCAAGTCCAAGCCTATTCATTTACACACCCAATGTAATACCAAATTTAGCATTTTAATCAACAGTTAATTTTGTTTAACCTTTTACCATATGTCTTGGAGTATCGCAATAATATCATATTGTGAGTTCAGTATTGTGATATGTATCGAATCGTGACATGAGGGTATCGTTACACCCCTAAAGGTTATTGTTCACTGTAAACCCCAAAGTCGTTATTAATAGCTACTTAAAACTAACACGTCTTTGCTTGCTTTGTTGTCAGTAGCACAACAGAATGAAAGTGTATTTTAATGTTCCACATCTTATTAAAATTAATTTGATTGTTAAATGTTGTTGTGTTTGCATGCTGAATGTTGATGTCTGCGTGTGACATGATTGAGCTCACTAAAATATTGTCACTATAGATTAATAAGTTATTAATAATAACTCAGGTGTTATATTATAAATTTTGTATTTCATAACTTTACATTGACACATAAAATGTGGGTTAGATAATGATCGATTTAACTTATGAATTTAAATCACTTATAAAAAAGCAGCCAATTTACTGTATACTTCTCTTCCTTTGAAAGCACAAATAACTGTGATTTCATGTAACTCTACTTATAGCTGGAATATTATTGTCAAGTAAAAGAAGTTCCAAGTGCCCAAACAATGGGAACACAATGGGAATCAACATCAATTTATGAATTCAAAATGTTCAGTTGTATTGACAATCTTACAACATTCAAGAAAACTTTGTAAAATGAGTGAATGCAAATAAAGAGGAAAATAACTAAAGAAGAGGAGAAAATTAATGAAAATTATATTAAGATTGCCCACTTTTTTTCTTCTCTTTTCTTTTTTTTTCTGCTTGACAAAATGAACAAATCAATTTATCTCAACTTGGGTTTTTTTACACAGGCATAGTATGCAAACCATACAGGGCTCAGTTGTTCAAAAAGTTTAATCTGGATTTGGAAATCCCATGTTTTGCTATCCAGGATCAGGTAATCCATCTTACTTTTATGTCAGTTTTTCAAAGCAGCACTGGATTGTATCACCTTGATCCAGATCCAGACCTTTTCAGATTACCAAATCTGTATTATCAATGCTCGGAATGAGACTAAATGTCACAATTTAGACTACTAGCTATAGAACAACAAGTAGAACATTCAAAGTGGATCAATTTAAGTGTTTTTTTATTTGAATAGGCACAAAACAGTAAAAAAAAATAATACAAATATCCCCTTACATTTTTTTTGTATAACAGTCAGACCTATTTTTAAATAAATAAAAAGATAATGTCCAATTGTTAACAAAATAAAGAATATTCAGAGTTCTTCATTTGTGGAGAGACCAGCTAAAATCAGATTTCAAGTGTAGCTTTGGTTTGCAGTAGTTTGATATTAGTGTTTTGTTCCTCTGCCTGACAAATCTGTACTTCCCCTCTTTTAGTTTCTTGTTTAAGAAGTGGCTTATAGGCATCATCATCCTTGTTTTGCAACGAATGCTTCAAGCCTCTTTTCTGAGCTCCTGTTGCAAAAACTATTGATACCATTGAGTATCCACCTTCTTGCTCAAAAACATGGCTGAGATCCAGAATAAATGTTTCCTCTGCATCAGGAGGAACTGACTCACTTTTCCACAGTCTTGGGCTCACCGTCCCTAACAACACCTTGAATCCCATGCAGAGATTGTGAGTTTTCACCTCCAATAATGTCAAGAACCATATCCTTGTAATCACCTCTCTAAAGGGCTTGTTGTGGGTGTTTTTTTGGTTAATTGCATTCACATTTTGGGTGATTTCAAACTTTCTTTTGTTTGTCACTTCACCACCCTTAGAGTTAATATACTATTAAAGCATAATGGTATCTTACACCCTCCAGCAGTGTGCGAGTTTCTGCTACAGTGAAATTAGGTTGTTTTGAGTCATGGTTCCCTTTCGAGAGCAGTAACTCTACATTGCGATGTTTGTGTAAATGCTGTCTGTTTGTGTGAGTTCCACACTAAAAACACGTATCCCTTCACAAAAAGGGCTTTTTCCTCCTCTTACACCCAACACTGTGTCACTCGCCCTGCCCCAGAGCAGCGCGGAGTCGCAGCCCATAACTATAATGGCCTCTCGAGGGCGAGAGAATGCCAATATCCCCCCGTGCCCGCCTATCCTCCTCAAGCAGTAACCCCTCCAGTGCTTCTAGCCTGGCTGGGGCGGGGCTCCAATCAATGGTAACGGCGGCCGTAGAACTAACGTAGAACTAAAGAAGGATGGAGTACTCCGTCCGATTCTGGACCTGAGATCCATCAACTGAGCACTTCACAAGCGCAATCCTGGTAGGTCAGGATGACAACACTGAAGCAGATCCTGGCACAGATCCGTCCAGGGGACTGGTTCGCTTCAGTGGATTTAAAGGACGCGTACTTCTATATTCAAATAGAGCTTCCTGAGATTTGCTTTCGAAGGCACGGCATACCAGTATTCAGTGCTTCCGTTCGGGCTGGCCCTAGCCTCCCGCACTTTTTCCAAGTGTGTGGACGCATCGCTTTCTCCCCTCAGAACCCTTTTCCTATTTAGCACCAAAACTTTGGAACAATCTTCCTAACATTATCTGGGAAGCAGACACACTCTGGCAGTTCAAATCTAGACTAAAAACACATCTCTTTGGCCTAGCATACACATAACACATTTAAAACTTCTATAATTCAATGTTAGGCTGCATAGTTTAGATCAGCCGGAACCAGGAACCCTTCCCATAAATCCTGATGTACTTGGTACCATCATAAGAAGAATGGCGTCTACACTAACATTAGTCTCTCTGTTTATCCCAAGGTTTACCACAGTCCGCCGTATCCAGGCCATATCTAGATCTGATGAAGGACCATCACCTGGACACGACGACAACACAGTCCTGAAGTGTCAACTAGTCTCTCCCCTGTGAAGGCCTCCCTCCCTTTACCTCTGTACAGATAAAATGTTGTCGGGATAATTCCGGTTCGCGTGGCTACGCAGATGCAACAAAAATTTCTGTATTATAAATTTTCAAAGGCGGGCATACACAGTGCGAGTTCGGACACTCGGGAGGTCGTGAGATATTGCACACGGTACGAGTCAGTTAACTTGATAATCGCGTCAAAGCAGCTGGTACACAGCACGACTGTCCTGCACAAATTTTATCCCGAGCCGGCGGCAATCACGTGAGCTTTCGTGCTAAACACAGATACCGGAGCTTTCAATGTTGCAAGCAGCTCAGATAGAAAAATGACAGAAATCTATGTGCAAATGATTTGTTGAAAAGCAGAGAACAGTAGCCATTCCTTTCAACATAAATAACATAAATAGAGAGAGAGAGAGAGAGAGAGAGAGAGAGAGAGAGAGAGAGAGAGAGAGAGAGAGAGAGAGAGAGAGAGAGAGAGAGAGAGAGAGAAGTGTGTGTGTGTGTGTGTGTGTTTGTGTGACAGTGTATGCGCACGCTGTATGGTTGCTGCCACTGAGCTGTAGTCCCATCGATCTAGTCTGTGACGTGGTTGTGTATGATTTGGCAATAGGGGACAGCCTATACGCTGGTGAAAATCGGACCGACTCCCCGAATTTTTTAAACATGTTTAAAAATAATCGGGAGTTCGGGAGGTGCTGGTAAAGTGCTCGGCTCGGCTCGTAAGTCCTCTCACACGCTGCGAGCCGCAACCATGCGAGCATCAACGATTTCCACGTGATCCTCTGCGAGCTCGTAAATGGTACCGTGTACGCCTGCGTTAAGACCAGACAAGGAGTTTGTTGAGGGTTGATTTGTGAAGAAGGACTACACGCCTGCGCACATATATATTCAAACGCTTATACCTATGGACTGAACACGTGATGCGCATGTGCGCGCCGTCTGCGTTTTGGCGGGTTTGCGTTTTTGAGGTTTGCGCAGAGATAACGGATAATTCTTTGCACCTTGGAACCTGTTTCAGGGAGTGCGTTCTCGAGACACCAGGCACTGTTTTGTGCGGATAGGCGGGTGAAGCGCGTTAAGAGTTTTTCTGTTAGAACGGTGTCGTGTTAGCGGCCCCTAAGTTAATAACTAATGATCTTCGCAACGGAAGTGAATCAATCAAAACTAACTTTAGCTGGACAATAACTTTATCCTAATGCTGTTGTAAAGCCTAAACAATCTGTTACGGTAATTTCTATTATAGCTGTAAAGCTGCTTTGAAACAATCCATACTGTTAAAAGTGCTTTATAAATGAAGGTGATCTGAGACCGTGGCGCAACCCGGATATGTTCTGCCCAGGAGTGCCTTTGGGAATAGTGACACAACGCACCGTGGTATCGACGGATGCGTCGACCTCAGGCTGGGGAGCAGTGTGCTTGGGCGTGTCTGCCTCAG